GCAAAATGTAAGTGTTTTTTTGACAGACAGGTAACGTCCGTGTCTACTAAATTCAAAAGAAGATAAAACATTAAAAAATAATATATTTTAAGGATTTCTTTGTTTCATCAAACCAATTTATGTCATTTCTAACCATAACTAAGACATTATAATGGAGGGGAATAAAATTTAAATATTTATACAACATGTTAAGCATGCAAAATGACACGTCACAAAATGTCACGAGAAAACATTGATAAATTATGTATAAAATTTGTATTCCATGATAAATTCTGGTCAAAACTATTGTTTTTATCTCTACAGCTTATAATTGAAACTCTACTACATTCATAATTTGTTATAAACAGATATATGGAAAAATATGTCCCAAAAAGTTACGGACGTTATTTATTACTCAATAGCTCAGAAGCACCCATTTGCTATTGTGTAATGTACGTTGCATTATTGCACTACACTCATAAGTTATAACGTAACTTTAGTATGGCCATGTGTATATCATTACACGTGTGTAGTCAGTCGTTATGTATCTTGAACGATTGATGAAATAGAATCTTTCATCTTCTAAATGAGAAAGAATATGGACCAATTTTTTTGGGAACACTGCCGAACACTGAATTATCGAGGTTACCACATATTATTCTACTTATCTCACCTTTCCCCTCCCGTGACAGATATATTTATTGATACACATGTTATAATATGTGTCCTGTTTCTTGTTATGTTTCAAATACAAGAATCTACATTATTTTACGTTATTCTGTTCTGTTGCAGCTGTTTCTTCCTGCTAATGGTGATAAGTCTACCGTGTACTGTGCCTTAGATGTCACGTCACGTCACATCCTATCTTACTTTCCCAAACGCTTATTCGTTAGTATGCAGTGCTCCATCTTCGCTAATTGTCAGGCAAGCATTTTGCCGGGGCATTTTGCAAGCAAATTGAGAATGATTTCTCTTGCACGACCCGAGATTGGCTTGCATTCCCTAGCAATGTCTTTCACAGTGAGAGGGGAAAACGTAGGTTTTAGTAGTAGAGTCAACGCGTTTTAGCTATAGATTATATAGTGTCTTACCATAAAGTGGAACCAGGGTGTATACGACCACAACTCCTGCTGGGCTGCAGGTTAACGCTTTCGGGTCAGTGACTTTTGCTAATCACAGCTTGTAATTACTGCTAATCTCTCTGCCATCACGTTTCGAACGTAATGATTGGTGAAATAAATTTAAAGTGGTAAAATTAATCAGATTATAAACTATTACACACGAATGATTTCGAGCCACCGAAAAACCTGTAATGTGACACTTAAATTTTAGGTTGTGTATATATATATAGAGAGAGAATGTTCAAAATATCGTTTTTAAGTTTGATTGTGTGTGTGCGCGTGCGTGCGCGTGTGCGCGTGTGCAGTGGCGTAG